TGAGTGTAACATGTACACACTTACAGAGTATAAGCTAGTTGCATATGGTTTCTATTTACGCATAAATAAAAGTCCCTTTATTTCCTACATGTATGTACATGTTCATTAAATCGCTGGACCAGTGTTATCACTCAACACCAATTGCTATTATGATAAAGATTTTCCTTTTTCTAGATCTACAAGTCTACAGCAGACGTTAGCTCAGGACAGTTATTGTATAATAAATATTCAACTGTTACTGATGATCATTTGATGTTAAGAGATATTGTAATGGCTAGGAAGATGCCTAGAAGGTTATTTGTACAGCCACACACTTCAATTGATACTGGTAAGCAGGGAATGGGTGGATGAGGGATGTCCTCAGTCTTACCTTGTAAAATAAGGTCTGTCATTAATTAACCTGCCTGACCAATGGGTTGGTTTATTTGCATAGGGCATGCCATGAATACTGTCCTTGCACAATTCTCTTCTGCCAATCTGCTTCACTGATTTCTATAACATTTCTTTCATTAGATGGTTCTGTTGTTCTTAATGAGTTTGATAGTTCATTTGAAGGAATCATTTCCTCATTTCTAGCAAGATATCCTAACTATGATACTGAACTGGAGTCTCTTTGGAGAAACGATCAACATTATTGGAAACAAAAATAGACACAATACATTGTACATTTGATACAAAAATTAAAGAACTTGTATGTGCATGTATTTGATTCATTGAGAGTTTGTTGTCACATTGTTTGTTGCATGACATTTCAGTGTTATAAATTTTAAAGATGTAGTGAAGTAATGTGAGAGTTTGCCTTTCCAGTGATCAATCGGTTAGACAACACAGTTTTTGCGTATTTTGCTGTGCTGAGATGTAACCTAAATGAAATAGACTACCATAAAACAAAATTTGTGCTGTTTTTTTCTTCCCAGCTCATTCACTCTATTCTTGCTAGCCAGACCATTCCCCAGCCTACAGTAGGCTGGGGGATGGTCTCAATTAGTCTGGGCCCCAGCCCCTTCGCTTTGAGGGGCCCAGACTAGGTCTCAATAGCTATAGTGAGACTATGGCATTCTCTGAACTGAAGTACATTATCGTGTGACAATAGAGGATATGCGTGCTAAGTATATTCATTGCAAAATAAAGCATACCGTAATAACTTTCAAGAAAAAAAATTAGTTCGTTGGACGTCAACTTTCCATTGGCAGCAATGGAGAAATGATAGAAAAAGGCTTGGTACCAGGAAACCGCTCTGTATTTCTTGATAGCAATCTTTCAGGTGACTACTAGAGCCCATTAGATCCTCGGGATGCTTTCTAAGCTTCCGAAAAAGGCCTCAAGAACGTAGCAAGGCAAGAAAATATGTTTTCCCCCATTGAACTCTTAATAAACTTGACGTCCAACATGGCGACCAATTTACTGTGTGGGTTGGATATACGGTACTAAAAAGCTATGAATATACTTAGCACGCTTATCTCTATTATTTACTTTGCACTAACCATTTCACATTTTCTATAACAGTAGCTGGTCTCTTGCTCAGATGGCACTAAGAACTGACAGTGAGCATCTGGTGGCGGGTCCCTCATGTACCAGAGAATATCACCAGCAACAATAACAGCGGGTGAGGTTGCTGCTCCTCTAGCACTCTCCTGCACTGGAGCTCGAGGAGGAGCTGCCACTTGCTCGACTAAAGCTCTTACTCTTCCCAGGAATATTACAAGCAACCGTAAAAATATCATTTTTATTTTCAAAATAGATAGGCCACCACTGATGCAAAATATCATTTCAACCACCTGATGCTTTTTATACCAAGTCACACGAGACTACCAAGTCACACCCTCCCAGTAATATGCAAACGGAAGTTGTGAGCCATGGAGATTCCGCCCACGTTATGTGACTGTAGCTGTACATATATGCAGTCTACACGAGGCGCTACACTTCTCTGAACACCGGAAGTGTAGGAAATCATATGGTTTCCCTCATGCTGTAATGGATACTCATACTATTTTACTTATTTCTCTTACATAGATACTTAAACAGTGCTGTAACTAGCACCATTAAGAGAGGAGAAGTTGCTTGTTATAAAGAAACAAGTTTGGTTTTCATGTGCGAAATTTAAGCAAAGATATGCCACCGTGAAAATTACTTGTTTAATAAGAATTGTTTGACTTTGATTTTTGTGCAAATCATTCACAGACTACCAGGAACCTCTAAAGTCTTTCCATAGATTTAGGAAGGTGTAGTCTACATGTCCTGCTAGTTTCAATCTTAATGGAGCAGATATAGCTGTAAAAAAAAGTGCTGTAAACTTAGTGTAATAACTATGTCTCATCCAAATCCAAGCAACAGCAAAATCAATAATCAGTATATCACAAAAAGTAATAATCATCGACTAACACATGTGGTTCTCCCTCTAAAATTAGTTACTCTCTCACAGTTATATATAGTAACACAAGTGTACACCCACACTCATTACATCACCCCCCCTCATCACAAAAAAAGAAAAAAAACCATAACAATAAAATCAGTGTAGTATGAGCCAGTCCGGTGGGCGATGGGCACGACGGGGATAACGAGCAGGGAGAGATGGAGGAGGGGCATGGGGTGGAGCCTGATTGTTGGGAACCGGAGGGTCCTCATCCTCAACAAGCACAGACCTCAGCCCTGCAGGTAGCTACAGTTACAGGTACACGCCACTGCGCCCAGCTGAGAAACCACCTTACAAATTTGGATAGTAAATCCAAACTACATTGCAAATTCATTCAATGATAAATACATGCATTAATGTTGTTGTACAAGTTTTTTAGACACAAGATGATTATATATCTTTCTAGTTTTATTTACATCAATACGACACAACTTCCTAGCATCCATCAGACGTAGCTTCCCTCCACATTTCCTACTCTCAGCAATCATTACTCCTTTACAGTGTAAATATACATCAGGTAATATACGATGGACTGAACATATCTGTATAAAAATAAAAAGGTAACAGGAATCAGTGCATGTTTCAAAAGAAATTCAAACAAGATGCATTGTATGTGTCCACTGGAAGCTGGTGTCACTACATTACTCTAATCAGTATGGTGACTGGCAATATGAAATTCCTATTTCCTAATGATTTGTTTAAAAGCTTACATAAATTCTCAATTAAGTGGAGTCAGTAACAATCAGTAACATGTTAGTAATATTGTAATGAAGACTGAGTTCAGTGAGTTGATACCAAAAAATCATTTAACAAGAGAAGAGAGTGAGAGAGATACCGTAGGGCGTCTTTTTTTCGAGGGCTATAAATTTCGTGGATTTTTATTTTGCGGATTTAATTTTCGCGAATTTATACCGTCTGCCATCTTGTACCATATTAATTTGATTTTCGTGAAAGTAATTTTCGCGAATCTTTAAAAAATCACGAAATCCGCAAAACTTATAGCCCTCGAAAAAAAGGCACCCTACGGTATACACAAACAGAAAGAGAATCACCACATGTACATTACAATTATACAACAATGTTTATATAATAACAACGGCCACTATGACATTATTCTTCATTACAATAATAACATTTGAGACTGACTGAGGACATCATACTAGTATGAATCCTTACTTGTTTCTCTTCATGATCCAGTTGCTCCACACCGGGTGAGTATGTAATGTTTAATGGAGTTAATGAGTATTTTGTTTTACCAGTACTACACATTGCTTGTTGTCCTTGTAGTTCAGTATTAGTACATGATATAGTAGCACTGCGGAGGAGAAATGTTAAAGACAAAGACAACACATATAATGCCCAATGCCCATCATGTTTGTTTATGTAGGTTAATTGATTCAATTTATAATGTAACACTCACTTCTGCTGTTCTGTTAAAGCAATTGACTAAATTTTGATGAAGTTATATTGCCACCATGCAGTCCAGGCTTACCTTGTTATTCTTTGTTATTAAATCAAGTGATGCCTTCATTCTTTCTCTTGTTTTCTCTCTCTTTTCTCTTAACCTTTCATACAGTTCACCACCTGTGACCAGTATAATAACAAGATAAACTGGTTTTGTTCTTTTTAAACAGATTTCCTTACCAGCTAGTGTTTTGATACCAAGGTAACGATAAGTTTGAAGAA